ACTGTTTTGCCAGATGTGACCTTTTCATGGCCAATAGCCTAGCAAGACCCGGGGCTACTGATGATAATCATAAGTCTGATAACCTTCCATTTTTATCTGGATTTGTGCCGGTATCTTTATTCCAGGACTTAGAAAAACACTCTTAGACTAGTGTTTAGACTAGTAGTTTGACCTAGATATTACCCACACACATTCTATTTGAATTTCACTAAGTTGTAGCACCTTTATATACCCTCTTGAGTCGGGTAACAACAGACGATAAACTGAATAGTGAGGGCGTCAGTGTAATCAACTTGTTAAAAAGCTCAATCCAACCAAATTACACATATTTCATCGACTTGTTCTTTATGCTGTTGTGGAGTATGTGGAAGAAAAAAAATAGATGTTTTAGAACAAGTGGTCTTTTTTCTAGTCTTACCATGTACATAAACTTGGAGCCTTGTTACATGTAATATATTGCTGATAAACCAAGCCGATCTGACTGTCTGGCTAGCAGGTAAAAGTGTAGACAAGCCGTAACTGCTTTGTTATCATCGTGTAGTCTGGTCTCCTACAAGTTAATTCGATGTATTGCCCACTTATTCCAACATGGTGATAAGATTTCAGGTCATAAGAAGCCAGAAGTTCAACTTTTGTAATTCTATTTTTGCCTAAGAAGGGCAACCACACACAAAATTTTTAGTTAATGAACGCATGTATAAAAAGTAGACAACATTGTGTCAGGGCCAGAGTGTAAAACATTTCCAACACTTTGTTAGCCCTGAATGTATGAATGTAACTTTTGATTTAAAATGTAAGTTTTGTCCAAAACTTTAACATGTTAGATAATATCTCTGTCATAACAATGGTAATAAACCTGGGATCAACTTGTTGTTATAAAGGTTTTATTGACGAATACAAACATACTCAAGTTGGTTAAAAAGAGTTTGTCTGAAAAGGGTCCTAAAGTTTAGAAAATTTAGAAATCTAGATGTGCTTATCATATCAATATATTAAATGTGCTTATTATATCAATACAATACTATTACCAAGTCATTCACAAAAGTTATGGTAGAAAAGTGTTTTGACCTTGTGCTTAACTAGTTATCGGATATGTCAGAAAATAACCACCCAATAAGTTTAAATTACACTTCAAAGTTGGGCTGTCAGTAACATAGCCTGGGAGGCTCAGGAAGGGAGGGAATAGTCTTAACTCTATTGAGTTTGTCTTTGACCTTGTGGCCTTTGGGGGAGGGGGAATGGTCTTAACTATGTTGACTTAGTTTCCAGTCGTATAGAAATGTAGGTGTGACCTAAATATGGTCAGAGAGCTACCGAATGTCAGCTGACAGCATAACCTGGCTGATTGCAAAATTGGTGTTAAGGAACAGATTCGAAGAAAAGTCGCAAATGTGTGACAAGGGCTTTAATTAATGACAGAGGTGGATAAAGGCAGTATTAAATTTAATTTTGTAGCGATTATATTTTGAGCGGCATAAGACACTGATGACAGAAGCGCTAAAATCTTTTGACGGTGCTGCTATGTATGTCAGATTTGTTGAAAAAATGTTGACAACAATGTAGATACCTGCGACACAGCAGTATATCTTCTGGCCCGTAAAACAACAATTCCCGTCTCCACAATTGTCACTGCGGACGTAGGTACCGATATCACAGTCACCAGGGTCACAGAAGGGAGCTGTGCCTTCCCAGTGGCACACAGCAGCTGCAATGTACATACAACATAACAGTCGTTTATTCTACATCATTTCATTTCCAATAGTTTCTGGTTATTTTGAAGTAAGAGCTATGAAGTACGACAAAATAAGAGGGGTTTGAGACAACTTTGATCTGACCATTAGTTGTATGCACCAATGTATCAAGGTGCAAGAAATGCCCTGATTTAGGATTATCAGGATTATCCATAGGGCTAAACAGCTTTAGACCCGTTGTGAGTTATAATACTGAGAGGATGCTCGATGTTAATTTTGCTACAAGTGTTTTAAAAGGAGAAAGGAGCACAAACTCTTCCACAGATATCAAAATTAAGGTTTTACTATTTATATGGTAGTTACAATTTAAGTTCTGAAATCCTGCGTACTACGACGCTTGGAAGATCTTTCCAATATGACATTGTATATCACATTAGTAAAAAGAAAAAAAAAACATTTAGTTATAAAATGAACTGTTTATAACACTACATATGACACTGGTGTCGTTTTTATTGTATTATGACCTTTTGTTACATTGAAAGCTCGAGCGTTTCCTCAGTATGGCGTTCAACGCACAAAGAAAAAAAAAATTAACAGTTAACATGTCCAAGTTTTTCCGTAACAATAATAACACCAATCAGCGGCAAAGTCTTACTGTTACAGGTCAAGCCGTCAGCGGCAAGGAGAAAACCGTCACGGCAAGAACACTCAAAACTCCCGATGGTGTTGGTACAGATCTGCTCACAGCCACCATTGTTGGTCTCGCACTCGTTTATATCTGTATAAAAGGAAGAGTGACTTTCAATCTAGATACTTTTAAACACCGTGTCTCCCCTATAGACTAGACATACACATGAGACATGTCTCAGAAGAATATTAATTGACACCACTTTTGTAAAATATAAGTTTATTAACTTTAGAAGTGTGGAGTTCTAGTTTCTCCTTCCTTAACCCTATCTAGACTTTTTTTCTCTTGAGGACGTGGGGGGGGGTGGGGGT